TGGTGATGATTAGCTGCCTTCCCTCTAGTCTTACACTGCTAAATTAGTGACGGCTAGCGCAGATAGCCCTCGTGTAGCTTTGCGCGAAATTCAAAAACAAACAAACCACTTTGCTGTTTTGTGCTGCCCTCTAGTGATTCGTAGAGAGTAAAGACATGCTTATTTATAAAACTTAAAATAAATAAATTGTGTAACCAACAACGTTGGAGCTTTAAACTAATAGTTTGAAAATTCACATAGGTTCGAAGTGTGCAAACAAAACAAAATTGAAACAAATCATGAACTGGTACAAAAACTCATAAAATGTTACTTTCACAGACCAAAACATGAACACGAAATAATATTCAGTTCTGTTCAACTATGGTGCCAAATCATGAACACGACACAACATCAACTCCTTTTGAATTATAGTGCCAAAGTAAGAAAATAATACGATATCCATTATGTACTTACAGGGCAACATTGAACACGGTGTAGCCTTCTGTACAAACAGGGCAACATTGAACACCGTGATCTTCTGAATCTTTGAAACAACTAAGACGGCCTCTGTAACACAATTTTGTACTTTTCACAGGATCTAAAAGAAGCCTTTGCAGGAGAAGCTAAATTTTCCCAGAAACCTCAGCTACTTCTTTCAGCCAGTGTTCCTGGAAACGTCGAAGCAATAGCTGTGGGATATGACGTCAAAGAGCTGAACAAGTAGGGTTTTTTTTTGTTGTTGTTGCTGTTTTACGTTTCTGGTTAACTTTCGAAAACTGTTGTATAATTCTATAATTTTCTGTTTGGTACAAGTTTATTTTGAATGCTAACTGAACATATTTCATGGCTTTTACCCCGAATTTGAACGACTCCATCTTTGAAAGTAAATAACGTCGAAGAATTGGCAGAGGGCACAGCAAAGATAACCTATTGTGTAGCTTTGAGCTTAACAAAAAATCTCCCGATAAAAGCAAAACGGTTAGCTACTTCTATTTAGAAATGATATCTGTAATCAGTCAACATGCTACTAATCAGTCAACATGAGAACAACATATTGTTTGTTAGTTATGAAAATATTCCTGAACATATTGAGAACATGATAGTGATACTTCTGCTATTTTTTCTAGACATCTAGATATGTTTAATGTTATGACCTACGATTTCCACGGTGATTGGGAACGTCAAGTTGGCCACAATAGTCCTCTTTATCCTCTAGAGGGCGCAAGCGTCTATGACAGTAAACTTACAGTGGTAAGTATAATGTAAATTCGTCAATAAGATACTTATGTCTAAAATTAAAATTTATCCTAAGTTAGAGCACATGTTATGTTTATTTTAATTGGTAGTTTTATTGACGCTAGGTGGCTGACGATTATACTGATCCAATTTTGTAAACGCAATTGAAATCACTCCTTTAAATTATAATGTGTGATACAATAGATCTAGTTAGCTGCAACAATACATGTGGATAGCTGCAACAATACATGTGGATAGCTGCAACAATACATGTGGATAGCTGCAACAATACATGTGGATAGCTGCAACAATACATGTGGATAGCTGCAACAATACATGTGGATAGCTGCAACAATACAATGTATTGTTGTAGTTATCCAGATGTATTGTTGTAGTTATCCAGATGTATTGTTGCAGCTATCCAGATGTATTGTTGCAGCTATCCACATGTATTGTTGCAGCTATCCACATATTGTTGCAGGTATCAACATGTATTGTTGCAGCTAACTAGATCTATTGTTGTGGCTAACTATATGTATTGTTGTGGCTAACTACATGTGGATAGCTACAACAATACACCTGGATAGCTACAACAATACACCTGGATAGCCACAACAATACATCTGGATAGCCAGAACAATACACCTGGACAACAATACACCTGGATAGATAGCCACAACAGTACACCTGGATAGCTACAACAATACACCTGGACAACAATACACCTGGATAGATAGCCACAACAATACACCTGGATAGATAGCCACAACAATACACCTGGATAGATAGCCACAACAATACACCTGGATAGATAGCCACAACA